TGCATAGGCTGGTGTGCTTCTTCCATGTGGGCTTTGTTGCTTCTGAGCTTGATGGCCGCTTGATTACCTTCAAGCCTTTAAGACCCCAGACGCCTTACTTTTTGATAGCCGGGCACCATCAGCTTCCTCCTGGAGGCTTCTTTAAATCAAACAGCCTAGCTTCACTCGTAAAGGGTGGCCATTGTGAGCTTTGGGCTCTTCTAAAGTTCCTTCGCACATGGAATCAGACGGTCACAGCAACTCAACTGTTCGAGAGGAAGCGTGTGCGGAACGCTTTGTGTCAACGGAGGAGGAAGAAATGGGAAAAGGAGATGGGCGTGGCCGCACAGCTTGAAGAGCGAAGTCCAGGCTACGCACGTTTGTTACACACAGAATGTGCTGGCTTGGTGTCTGTTCTGCTGTGTGTACTTTCCACAACAATGGAGAGAAAAAGGTGTACACGTCTATAAAACACATCTAGCAAATGAGTAATGTCAGGCAGTACAAATCCGTGGGAGTGACCCGCAACTGAGGGAGCAGACAGAACTGTGCCATGAGATTAAATACGCTTGACTTCACCAGGAGCTGAGTGCCACTGGACACACGTGCATGGGTGAATAAAATTTGATACATGTGAGATAATAAAACCTAATCCGCACTCACTGCGGCTGAGTCGACTGCAGTGCACAGGGACCCTGCAGGCCTGAGCGGAACTGTAGGGTGTCTGTACATGTTCACAGGCGCAGAAGGCCTCCTCTTTGTCCTGAGGAGCAAACTGCTGAATTCGAACTGCTGGCCTTGGGGTTAGCAGCCCCACCTGTAACCCACTATGCCACCAGGGCCTGCTCGTGTGTGAAGGAGTATATAATATTGCCCTGATTAAAAATGAATAAGCTTTCAAGAGCCAAATACTTGTACTCACCAATTCAGAGACCATTATAGGCCACAATGAAGTCAAATGTTGAGGAGAAATTCTTAGCAGCAAAACTCTGAAAAAAAGAAACATCTGAGCAGCCACTGTGGATGTCTGTCCAACTCTGAGATTGTCTGTCAGGCGTTCTATGGAAAGAAGACGTTAAAGACGTCACACAACATGCAGCTCTGGGTTTCTTATTCAGACAAAGGAGAAATTTAAAAGTGCAGCTGTTTTGACATTACTGGGACAGCGGCTCAGTGTAAGGAATGGGTTCTTACGGCTCTGTTTCTAAGTGCAGACTCGCCCTTGCTAGCGGACAGGAATCACAGCCTCTGCCCCAGGCTGCAGCTGAGGAGGGCAACAAGAACAGCTAAGTCAAGGTCAGAAGCCTGTCAGATTGTCAGGGACAACTTATGATTTTCTTCTAAAAATATGAATTACGAGACAAAAAAAATCACAGTCTTTGATGGATGCTGGACCTTTTGAAGTCGTACAGATTGGTCGACAGAAAACAGTGGAATGAAGTAAGTCGGATCCATCCTATTGTGCTTTCTAATCACAACAAAACACCTTGAACAAGCTGCAAGATCAACTATCAGAAGTTCTGAAAGGCGGAGAAGAGACAGCAGGAATGTCTAGGGCACTTGGGACTTAAGAGAATGGCCTAGTGGTGAGCTAGTGTCCTAGCTATTTCTATTTTAACTTGAGTGTCTGAGACACAGGTAATCTGGAAGGTCAAAATCTTGACTTGAATGAGAGAAGACCATCAGTTGGCACCAGGGCAGAGAGAACAGTACGGGAAGTGCTAGCCAGTGTACCAAGGCAAGACAAGGAACTGGAAGGCATGCAGATTGGAAAGGAAGAAATAATCCTCACGTTGGTACAGGAGAGGGGCGGTGAAACAGAGGAAGACCCTTGGACAAGACAGCCTGGCGCATTGGCTGCCATAATGCGCTGCGACATGAGCACGGTTGTGGGGATGGTGCAGAAGCAGGCGGGCTTCATTCTGTTGTGTGGAGGGTCGCTGTGAGTTGGAACCGACTTGACAGCACCTAACATCTAACTACTAATGAGTGACTTTTACTGTTTACAAAACGTGCCTTATTGAAATAGAGGAAAGAGCTGGGAGGCAAAGGGCATTTATAGAGGTCTAAATACAGGCATGTACATATGTAAATATATTTATAAATGAGGATGTGGAAATACATCTATGTGCATATATGCATAGATTTCGTATTAAGGTAGCAGATGGACATTGGGCCTCCACTCAAGTACTCCCTCAACACAAGAACACTTTGTTCTATTAAACTGTCATTCTATGATGCTCCCCTTCCTGACACAATCGCTGAAGACAAATGGGTGCATAAGCAAATGTGGTGAAGAAAGCTGATGGTGCCCGGCTATCAAAAGATATAGCATCTGGGGTCGTGAAGGCTTGAAGGTAAATAAGCGGCCATCTAGCTCAGAAGCAACAAAGCCCACATGGAAGAAGCACACCAGTCTGTGCGATCATGAGGCGTCGAAGGGATCAGGTATCAGGCATCATCAGAACAAAAAATCTTACGATAGTGAATGATGGGGGGAGTGCGGAGTGGAGACCCAAAGCCCATTTGTAGGCAATTGGACATCCCCTTACAGAAGGGTTGCGGGAAGCAGACAAGCCTGTCAGAGTGCAGTGTAGCAAGGATGAAACAAAACTTTCCTCTAGTTCCTAAATGCTTCCCCGCCCCTCCCCCTCCACTATCATGATCCCAATTCTACCTTACAAATCTGACTAGACCAGAGGATGCACACTGGTACAGATAGGAACTAGAAACACAGGGAATCCAGGGCAGAAGATTCCTTCAGGACCAGTGGTGAGAGTGGCGATACTGGGAGAGTGGGCTGAAAAGGGGGAGCTGATTACAAGGATCTACATATAACCTCCTCCTTGGGGGGAGACGTCGGACAGTGTAAGATATGACAAAATAGTAATTTATAAATTATCAAGGGTTCACTAGGGAGGGGAAAATATGAGGAGCTGATGCCAGGGGCTTAAGTGGGGAGCAAATGTTTTGAGAATGATAAGGGCAATGAATGAGCAAATGTACTCTACACAATTGATGTATGTATGTATGACTTGTGATAAGAGTTGTATGAGCCCCAAATAAAATGATTTAAAAAAATACAAAAACGCCTTATTAATTAAACCTTAACCCAAATAAGATCTATATAATTCCAATATCTACTACACTAACCTTCCTAATACTAAGTAAAATATCCTTCAAGTATTATATTAATTTTATTTAAATCTTCTTGGACTATGAATTTTAAGCAAAAAAAAAAAATCCCAATTGTGGATGAAGATGAATTGAAACACAAAGGCAACTCTGCTACCTGAGCACTTTAGGGGGAACGGAAAAAGCTTTCAGAAACATTGTATGATTAATAGTTAAAATAAGTCATGTTTTTGCTTGCATTTCAGATAATGCTAATAAGCAGAATCATATAATACTTGTGCATCTGCGACTAACTTCAGCATGATGCTTTCAGGAATCACCTGTGTTGCAGCAGGTACCAGGAGCTCGTTTCTCTTTGTGGAGGAGTCATGTGCCCTTGTGTGCACGAACCATGTGTAGTTATCTGTTCCTCCCTGATGAACACATGGGGTGCTTCCACCTTTTGGATGCGGTGACGGTGCTGCGGTAAACTCTGAGTGCATGTGTCTGTACCCCTGTTTTCAGTTCTTTTAACATGTGCTTTGTCTCCATTTCCCTTGTTTCAGTGCTGTTTCTTCAGTTCTGTTTGTAAATTTTTATGATCTTTTAGAGTTTAATTTTAAAATGTTCCTAGTAGTTCTTTTCAATGGGAGACTCTGCCATCACTTGACGCTCACTGTAGCCACCCTACTCACTATTATAGTTCCGGTAACTCTCATCATGATGATCAGCTCTAGTTGTTCTGGCTCTGCTCTAAAATTCCACTCTCACAGTCCTCTCACCCATTTGTCCTACCACCTTTTCATCGCCCATTGGGCCTCCCAGTGCCGCGTCATTTCTTCCTCTCATTTCCTCTACACCACGGGAGCTCAGTATGCCAAGGAAAAAACGTTCAACCTTTAGACCTAACTTTACCTTACCTATATGACAATGACGCTCTTAACACTGTCTAGTTAGTAGCCATATCTTCCTAATATAATATTCCCATTACTAGTCTGATAGGGACCACTGTTCCTTGTGCCCTCGCGTCTGTTCCGACCCAGCGTACAGCAGAGTAAGACACTGACCGGGTCTGCACCCTTTCTGTGTTTCTGTGCTTGAATCCATTGTTGCAGCCAAGGGCCCGTCTGGTTAAGGATCTTCTTTGTCGTTGACCTTCTGCTTTGCCAAACATGATGTCCTTCTCCAGGGACTGGTCCCTCTTGTTATTAAACCCAAAGTCTGTGAGGTAAGTGCTCCTTTCAAAGGAGCATGCTGGCTGTATTCTTCCAAGACAGATTTCTCTGTTCTTCTGACAGTCATTGTACATTCATATCTGCTCCTTTATCCTCAGATTCTAACTCTTCCTCTTGCCTTTACTCTTGCTTCCACTCCATCAGGGAGAGCTGGGTGGGATAGCCATAGACTGCCCTCGGGACTGCAGGCCAAGACCAGCCAGCCAATAATTCATTTTGATGCAAAGAAGGTGAATATGAAGGGAAGAAATTCAGGGTAAATGAAACACAACCCCAAATCTTGCTCCCTCACCAGGCTCAACGGGAAGTGCTGATCTCAGGTGGACTGTATTTTGACTGTGCAAGAAATCTGGCAAGACACAGTGCTAAAAAGCTATTATTCCTGGACTGGACTGTCAAGACTTTTTCTCTCCTCGACAACAAGAAGACTATAAAAACAAACAAACAAGCAAACAACAACAACAAAGGCAGAGGACACGAAGAGGATACTTCACAAAGATATTCAGGCAGCCAACAAACAAAGAGCACTCTGGGTCATTAGCCATCAGAGACTCAGATGAAAACAATGAGATCCCTATCATCACACACACACACACACACACACACACACACACACACACACCGTGTGATAAGAGCAAAAGGTCAATAAGAAAGAAAACCACAGATGCTGGCAAGGGAGTGGAGAGAGGAGAACTCTCATACGCTGCTGGTGGGGGGCACAATAGAGTAACTGCTATGGAAAATGGTAGGACACTTCCTTCAAAAGCTGAAAATAGAAATACGAGTAATCCCACTACTAGGTATGTATCCTCAAACTATAAGAGCCAGGCCATGAATAGTTATATGCACCCCAAAGTTAGTGGTAGCATTATTCACAATAGCAAAGAGATAAAAATAACCAGCTAACCTCTATAAATGCCCTTTGCCTCCCAGCTCTTTCCTCTCTTTCCCTATATGAGGATGGGGAAACAGATCTTTGTGCCTATATTTATAGGTTTAGTATTAAGGTAGCAGAAGGACATTGGGCCTCCACTCAAGCACTTACTCATTGCAAGAACACATTGTTCTATTAAATTGGCATTCTATGATGCTCACCTTCCTGACACAACCGCTGAAGACAAAGCGGGTGAATAAGCAAATGTGGTGAAGAAAGCTGATGGTGCCCAGCTATCAAAAGATATAGCATCTGGGGTCTTAAAAGCTTGAAGGTAAGCAAGCAGCCATCTAGCTCAGAAGCAACAAAGCCCACATGGAAGAAGCACACCAGCCTGTGTGATCATGAGGTGTCGAAGGGATCAGGTATAAGACATCATCAGAACAAAAAATCTTACCATAGTGAATGATGCGGGGAGTGCGGAATGGAGACCCAAAGCCCCCCTTGCAGAGGGGTCTCGGAGGGGAGGAGACGAGCCAGTTAGGGTGCGATGTAGCAATGATGAAAAATACAACTTTCCTCTAGTTCCTAAATGTTTCCTCCCTGCTCCCACTATCATGATCTGAATTCTACCTTGCCAGCCTGGCTAGACCAGAGGATGTACACTGGTACAGATAGGAACTGGAAATACAGGGAACCCAGGGCGGATGATCCCTTCAGGACCAGTCGGGTGAGTGGCGATACTGGGAGGGTAGAGGGAGAGTGGGTTGGAAAGAGGGAACCGATTACAAGGAACTTTATGTGACCTCTTCCCTGGGGGACGGACAACAGAAAAGTCGGACAGGGCAAGACATGACAAAATAATAATTTATAAATTATCACGGGCTCATGAGGGAGGGGAGAGTGGGGAGGGAGGGGAAAAAAATGAGGACCTAATGCCGGGGGCTTAAGTGGAGAGGAAATGTTTTGAGAATGATGAAGGCAATGAATGTACAAATGTGTTTTACACAATTGAGGTATTTATGGATTGTGATGAGTTGTATGAGCCCCTAATAAAATGATTAAAAAAAAAACCAGCTACTCACTCACTGCCATCCAGTCAATTCTGACGCAGAGTGGTGATCCTATAAGACATATTGAACTACCCTTGTGGGTTTCCAATACTGTAATTCTTCGCAGGAATAGAGAACTCATCTTTTCCCCACAGAGCAGCCAGTGGTTTCAAACTGCTGACCTTGAGACTACTACACCAGCAGGGATCCCCTGGAAACAATCTAAGTACCCATCAATGGACAAATGGACAAACTATGGTATAGACACACAAGAGAATACTGTGTAATGTTAAAGAATAATGAATAATCTGGGTGAAATACTTTTTTCTTTTTTCATGTGAAATACTGGAGAACATTATACGGAGTGAAATGAATCAATTCACCAGGGCAAATACTGCATGAGGCTACTATTATAAAAAGACAAGGATATATTTACACTTAGAAAGAAGCAGTCATTGATGGTGGCCAGGGTGGGAGGGGAGGGAAATCTAGATAATAAATAAGTATTGATTTGTGTGAAGGATGTGGTAATAGACAGTAAGGGGGTGATCAGCAGAATATTGCTAAGAAAAGGAAAACATGAAGAGGTGCACAAGAGTTGCAGACACCCAAGGTCAGTACTATTCCACACAAGCCTGCATTAACAGTGACAACAGTCTGAGTGGAGGAAAAGCAGAGAGGGAAGATGAGTAAGTATGTGTAGGTGAAAGGTAGCTGCATCCGCAACCATGTAGAGAGTGGCAGGTGGTATTTCTATACGTGTACTTGTGTGTACAGTATATGGTCACTGTAACTTTGTCAGATTTGACTCGATGGCAATGGGTTTCAGTATATATATATCATGTACATAGTACAGCAAATGGGACACAGTTATCTAAACATCTTAGTCATAACCAAACACCTCAAAGGAATGAGTTGCTGGGCCTGGGGGCCACAGTCTTAGGGGACATGAAGGTCAATTGGTACAACATATTTCACAAAGACAATCTGTTGTATCCTATTTTAGTGAGCAGAGACTGGGATCATAAAAGCTTGTGAGTAGCCCTCTAAGATGCAAATTTTGGTCTAGAGTGAAGAAGAAGGAAAATAAAAAGCAAAACCTAACAAACAAACCAAAAATCCCCAGGGAAATAATTAGTCCAAAGGACTAATAGTCCACACAAATTTCAGTCTCCATGACTCTGAGATCAGAAAAACTAGATGGTGCCCAGCTAGCACTACTAACCACTCTGAAAGGGATCACATTGGGAGGCCCTGGAGAGAATAGGAGAAAAATGTGGAACCAAACACAAACTCATAGAGATCAAGCTTACTGGTCCGATAGAGATTTATGGAACTTCTGAGATGGTGGCCCTGGGTCGCCCTTCAAGCCTGTAACTTAACTCATCCTCTCAGCTCAACTTTCAGCAAACAATAGACAGGCCTAAAAGGTAAACAATAACACCAGGAAGACAAAACCTCCTTAGAACGATCAGTGATATGAGATTTAAAAAAGAACAGTAGCCCAGGGATAAAGCTCAGTAGGCAGGAAGGGATAGAAAAGACAGAGAGTAAACTCAGGCAGGATGTGGGAAGAGTGCTGTTACATTGTAGGGGACGTAACCAATGTCTCACACACGTGTACAAACTGTTTAATGGAAAACCAGTTTGCTTTGTAAACTTGTACTCAAATCACAATAAAAAGTCTAGAGAGAGAAAATAAGAACCACCCTACTCTGAACTGAACGGTGTGCCCCAGTGAGATGCCGGAGGCTGTCACACTCAGGACTGAGGAGCCTGGCTGTGTCTGGAAGTAGAGTCTGCAGACCGTATCAGGTTAAGATGAGATTCACACTGGAGTAGAGTGGTCCAAAATGGTCCACATAATCCACTGTGATTGGTGTCCTTAGGAGAAGACACAGTGTGACAACACACAAAGAGAAACCATGTGACAACAAGGCCGAGATGGAAACCATGCACCTATAAGCCAAGGAAGGCCCTGGATTGCCTGCCGGCAATCCCAGAGGCTGAGAGAACCGCAGGGAGCAGGGCTTTCCTAGAGCTTCAGAGGGGCACGGACCTGCCAACACCATGATTGTAGACTTCTAGCCTCCAAAACGGAAATACTCAATTTCCGTGTTCAACTACCTTGTGCCTCATTGTGTATGGGGGCAGCTCTAGCAATCTACTTTACTTGCTATTAAGAATTAACATTAGGAAAGTCGCATATTTGTTGATAATATTTCTAAAGTGCCTCTATAGTACTGATAGTTGCTGGTCTCACCTTAAGTACTGATTTTAACACTTGACCGCTCTACCAAAATGTGCTGTGGGTCCCCTCTACTGGCCAGCTTCTCTTGGCCACCTGTGTGTCCAGTGTGTGGGGACAGGGGAGAGAGGCTGCCCAGCTTACCTTGTATCAGTGGGAGGTAAGGGTGATACTGGTCAAATTCCCCACTGAAGACGGCAAAAGCCTGGCGCTTTAACAGCATGGCTTTCTGCTCAAAGCTGGAGAACAGCTTCAGCGAACTGCTCTGCATGTCTGGAAAGAACAGAGCAAGTTCATTACACTCAGTGCAAAAAGTACCACCAGAACGTCGCGATAGGAAATCTGTATGAGTGTCATTCTTAGCTTCCCTGGTTCGGAAAAAGAATCATGGCTTGAATCATGGGATTATCATTCTTTATTTTTTAAAATATGTCGTTCTTGTGAGCTTGTGTGGAGGTTCTAGCAGAGGAGCGCAGCTACTCGCATACCCTTGACAGAAGGACAGTCTTCCTTCTATCGGGGAAGGTCGTCCTCTTCAACCGAGCGCACACCTTTGGGAGGGACATGCATGGAGCGGTGAGGGAGGAAGGGGACACCTGCCTGGCCATCAGTGGGGTGACAGATGTTGCAGCCAGACTTTCTTTAGTGATTCTGAGCGGCCACATGAGAAAAGGCCATGAGGCATACAAAAGTACCAACGATCCTGTGGTGAACGTCTTCTTACTCTCAACATCAAAGTCAGGACCTGATGTGGCAGCTCTGCGGCCTCTCCCTCCACTGTAAACCAGTGGTCAGTCACACATGACTTCAGAGGGACCCATCGTGTAGTCCCACCCTAGGGCATCAGGTGGCGAAGGAACCGTGGAAGGCTTAAGGAGGGTTCTGAAATGCCAGACCCTGAGGGCTTTACTCTCTTAAACTGTGGCTTACGGGCAAAAATAATGCAGAACTTACTCATTAAATCTTTAAACATGGTTCTCTCGTGAGCCAGAAGATGGTCGATAATGGCCCTCCAACTAGATAGTAAACAAACTGAAGTTAATGAAACACATAACGGGTAACAGCCTAATTAACAAGAGCACCAAGAAAAGGCTGCTTCCCTGTTCAGAGCTATTACACACCGCCTTCTGGAAAGGGTGGGTGGAGCAAATGAATTGCATCTGTACACAGGAAAGCTAAGCGAAGCGTCTCATGTACAGTCACGGCTCAGGGGATGAAAGAGGAAGCTTCCGCGGATTTTGTGGGTTTCGTAAAAGAAAACCAAGTTGCCAAGGCTCTCTGGCTTTTTCAACGGATAGCACTGATGAAACATACAACTTTCCTCTAGTTCTTTAATGCTTCCTCCCTCCCACTCTCATGAGCTCGATTCTACTTTACATATCTGACTAGACCAGAACAGTGCACTGCTACAGATAAGAACTTGAAACACAGGGAATCCAGGACAGATAAACCCCTCAGAACCCATAATGAGAGTAGCGAAAGGGAAAGGTGGGGGAAGAAAGGGGGAATCGATCACAAGGATCTACATATAACCCCTTCCTAGGGGGATGGACAACAGAAAAGTGGGTGAAGGGAGACAGTGGTAGGTATGAGACATGAGGGGGAAAATTATAAATTATCAAGGGTTCATGAGGGAGGGGGGAAATAAGGAGTTTTTATCAAAGGCTCAAGTAGAAAGAAAATGCTTTGAGAATGATGATGGCAACATATGTACAAATGTGCTGGACACAATGGATGTGTGCATGGATCATGATAAGAACTATAAGAGACCCGAGTAAAATAATTAAAAAAAAAAAGTGCCCTCTGGGTGATGTTCTACACCCTTGAGTTGTGCAGACAAAATACCAATGTGTACCACTTCCAATCCAGAGGGTTAGTTTCAAATGGGCTTTCCAGGCAAAGAAAGAGGATGTGCAAGGGGAAAGTACAGGGCCCTAGGCAGGCTTCTGGCGTTTGCAGGGCCAACTCTAGGCGATACGAAAAGGCTGACCTGATCTCCATCCTTCATCCCTGTGGTTGCCCCACCACCCCTGCTGCCAACCAGGGGAGGGCTATCTGAGCGGGCCTGCGCATCACCAGCGAAAGCGGTGGAGGGCATCCCCCACTTGTACCTTTAAGAGGCTCTCCACTGCCAGTGTGAGACTGGACTAGAGCAGGCACTGGAGGAGAACTTGTGGTGTGGATGCTGGGGAGCTGTCACTACTATGTCTGTCACCTTACTGTTGGCCAAGTCGTTTCTGTACAGGACAAAGTACGACTAGACCAAGCACCAGTGAAGCTCAATATTATACTCTCTAGGAATAATTTAAAAAGCCCAAGCCAGTCGCCGTGGGGTCCATTCTGACGCAGGGCGATGTCTGCATGTCAGAGTAGAACTGTGCGCCACGGGGTCTGCATGGCTGAAATTTGGAAAGGGGTCTGCTAGGCCTTTCTTCCAAGGTGCCTCCTCCAGGTGGACTTGAACTTAAAATCCTTAGGTTAGCTTCAAGTGTGTCAACTCTTTGTACCGCTCAGGGATTTCACATGCTTTCTCAATCATGTAAGATCCTTCCTTTGCATTTTAGCAGACGGACTTCCCTTGCCACGAGCCCAGGTGAACATGTGCTAACAGCTGTGGCAGTGACATGTGATTATCTGGGCTGGTGCTGAACAACCCGGCCCCAGACTCAGGGGTGAGAGTAAATCACACTCAAGCCTGAGTCGCTGTGCCCGAGGACGCCCCCGAGCACGGCTTCCCCAGCAGAGCTTCTCTTACTGAACACAGGAGGTGTCCATCTGGAAGAAGGCTGGGTCCAGGAACAATTCCAGGACTTCTTTCTTCCAGGCCCGCTTCGTGTAGGAGTAACCGCTCAGATCGCTTAGCAGCTGAGCTCCAGCGCGGAAACTGGGAGCGTTGTAGGCACTATGTGGGGAGAGACAAGCGGAGGGCCCGGTCAGAGGCAGTCCAAGGAAAGCCAGCTGGTGCCATCCTTTACACATCTGCGCCTTCCTGTTTCTGTGCTTCTGGAGGTAAGGTGGACGGGGACAGAGTTACCTGTGGTTGCGCAGGTAAGGGAAGACATAGTACAGCAATCTTGAGATTAAGGGCACGGCCTTCTCCTTCTCGTCACTTCGATATACCATGTCCAGGAGCGATGCCAGGACCTGGAAGAAGGCGACAGCCAGTAAGCCGGCAACCTCCCAAAGTGACGCGAAGAAGGGCAGTCCTCGGAGCGGGATGCAAAGACATTCCACAGCTTGGCTGATGGCTGAGAGACCAGTCCCTGAAGCAGGACCTCATGCTTGGTCCAGCAGAGGGGCAGCGGGAATAAGGAAGGCCCTGGGGAGATGGATTGACACTGTGGCTGCCAAGGGGCTCAGACAAGACACTAACTGTGAGGATGGCAGGGCCGTGAGGTGTTCTTCGTTCTGTTGTACACAGGGTCGCAAGGAACGGTAACCGGTGCGATGGCATGTAACAACAAGAAGGCCACGGAGGCAGGGACAGGCTACCCTCCCTGGGCCCTGAGCATGAGTCGTCTTGGTAGTGTTTCTGATAGCAATCAATCACTTACATGATCAGGGCTGTATTTACCTCTGCCAGGAGAGACAGGGCTTGCACGCTGTACACTGAAGGGGCAGATGCAGACACCATCGAAGAAGCTGCAGCCGCTTCCGCTGAAACAGAGGCATTTGTGTTTTAGCTGCTTCAAAGCTTCACGTGAACTCAAGGCAAGAGATCCCACACTAACTGTGTATATGAATACAATGGCGACTCGGGGTATTCTTGGTTAATGTGCAAGTCCTAGAACTAAGAAGCTGGGCCTTGGGATCAACAAGCACCTGCACTGACTCAGTCTTCCTCCATTTTTCTCCCGGCCATTGACCTCACCAGTTTCCAGGAGCACCATTTTAAAATCTCTATTGCCAGCATCCTTCACCGACCACCACCATCCTACCTTTCCTGCTGGCGACTGACTCCCAGAACCCTGCTTCAGTACGTTCTAGAGTACCACCAATCCCAAGTCTACTACCCAGACTGCCCATCAGTAGCTTCTGGTGTTTGCTTCTCTGCACGCCACCCTACACACCCAATCCACTTCCTGGGGCCAATCTTGCAAATCTCCTAAATGCCTTTGCTTCTTTCCCCTTCTGAAGCACTCACTTAGGAAAATGCTCCCCACCAGTCCTGGCCTACCCAAAGGCTCCTGGAGAAACCCCGGCACGATGCAACCCACCTCACTCTCTTTCAAGCCCATGGACCCTGGAAGGTATCGCCCAGACATTCGTACGTGTTCCTGGATAGTGTGCTGGCTTCCCCAGCCCAGTTCTTCCACGTGCCCCTCAAGTCCATCAGTACCCTTTCTTAGCTTAGAGCTTTACCTCAGTATTTATTGACAGAGTGACCACTTCATTTTGCCACTGAGTTGATAAGCCCGAGCTTTTACGCCCCCGTTCTCTACCTCCTCTTCTGCTTTAATAAGCATGCCCATCTCCTATCAAATAGCTACTCCATTTGGGTTATTAATTCTGGCCCTCTGACTGTCAAGGCCTTTCCTGTGCAATTGCCCTTGCCTTTACCCTCAATTAACCTCTTCCTCTCTGCTGCACTGCTCCCATATTGGCACAAAGAGCCTTCGATATGTGCCAAGGAAAGAACAAGTCAGCACAGCACAAACCATTCTCTGGTCCTCAGTCCTCTCATTAGGCTCTTGTTGCTGCTCACTGTTTCCTCTTCCTTATCTTCTTCTCCACCTCCTGCCATCACACTTCCCTTCCTCACCATGCACACCACTCACCCCAGTGACTTCCACGTTGCTCAATCTAATGAGGGCTTGGCGTGTCCCTCTCTCAACTCCACTTCCCAGCAGCCTTCTACTCAGTTACCCTCTGCCCTCCGTCTTGAAGCACTTTCTTCTGGTAGCTTCCACGACTCTAGACTTGACTAGCTTTTCCCCTACCCTGTGACAGCTTGACATCTTCACTTTGCGCCTTCTCCCTTCCAGATATTTCCCATTTAATATGTGCAAAATGGAAGCAATTTCCTCCTCCGAAATCTTCATCTTCTGCTCTTCTCCATCTCAACGACTTAAGTCCAACACCTAAAGTCATCTCGATTGCTCTTTCACCCTTTTCTTTTCATTAATCAAACATCGAGTCCATCAGCCAGTCCCGCTGTCTCTGCACTTTAGTTCACCCACCTTTATCATCCCTGCCTCCAGGCCAGTAAGCTCTGGCCTGACCCACTGCAATATCCTTTAGCGGAACTTCCAGCACATATTGCTCCTGCCTGCCTGCCATGGGGATGTTTCCTAAGGACTGAATAAGATCTTATCACTGCCCTGCACACTTTAATGGCTTCCCACATATCAACTTAACTCCCTGCCCTCAAGTCAGTGCTGACTCCAGGGACCTTCAGTGGGTTTCTGAGACTGTAATTGTTTGCAGAAGTAGAGAGCCTGGTCTTTCTCCCATGGAGGCACTGGTAGTTTTGAAGTGCTCACCACGCGGATTGCAGCCCTGTGCACAGCCACTATACCACCAGGGCTCCTCAGCATCAAACCATGCACGATGCATCCCAGCCACCTCAGTGAGCTCTGTCTGAGTGCCTCCGCCCACTCTCACTCAGCTCCAGTCACACTGCTCTCGGCACATTCTTGCCTCGGGGCCTTGCGCTGCTTTTGCTCAGCGCCCCCTCCTATCATCTCACGGGGCTGCTGCTTCAGCTTTTGGTTCTCAGCACAAGTGTCGCTTCCTTGGGGACAGGCTCTGTAGCATCTATAAAGGCTCCCCTTAGTCCTAGGCACTTCTTGTGACATCACACTCGTTTTCTTCACAGTGCCAAGTATCAGCTAAATACTCTCAGGTATTAATTGATTTGAACAATTTTTAGAGCATCTAGGTTTGTTGGAACACTGCCCAGGCTGGCCGTGCAGAGTTCCTACACATCCCCTCCCTCTTACACAGTTTTCTCTGTTGTTAGCACCCTAATATTCATGTGGCTCATTTGTTTCAGTCGATAACCACTATTGGTAGATGAACTGAATTCGAGGGTTCTTTGTGCTGTATAGTCTCGATGGCTGTAGTACCACAATAGTTTCAGGATCAGAATCGTTTCCCTGTCCTAAAAATGCCGCCTGCTTCACCTAGTCCCAGGAGCCCTGGAACAGGTGGCACAGAAGTGAAGAGGTCAGCAGACTGAGACGGCCACGCTGCTCCTAGGTGAGCTAGATGAGGCTGTCTACTCTTGGACAGGGTTACAGGCTCCTTCCCCCACGAATAAGAGGTGGTAGGCCAAATAAGTGTGGGGACCCATGACCCACTCACTCCTTCTGCCAATCTGAGCCCCTGGCGCCCACTGGCCTTCACTACACTTTTGCCTTTTCCAGAATGTCCTATAAGTGGAACCTTACACTAGGTAGCCTCTTCCGAGTGGCTTCTTTCACTTGGCAATGCATGCTTACAGTGCCTCCTTGCCTCTTTGTGACTCAATAACTTGTGTCTATAAATCACAGCCTAATACTCCCCATGTGACTGCACCACAGTGTTTACTCATTCACCTACTGAGAGACTTCTTGGTTGCTCTCAATTTGGGGCAAAAATGAAGAAAGCTGCTATAAACATCCACGTGTAGGCTTTTAACTGGGCATGTGCTTTCGACTCAGTTGGGAAACATCTCGGAGCATGACCGCTAACTCATATGGTGAGCTCACGTGTAGCTTTGTGAGAGTTGGTCAGAATGTCTTCCAAACTGGTGGCACCATTTTGCTGTTCCACCAGCAATGAAGGAGAGCCCTTCTTGTCCTTGCCAGCATTTGATGTTGTCAGCACTGTGGATTTTAATCACTGTCATTGGTGTGCAGTGGTATCTCACTGGTGTTTTTAACTTTCAAATGGGTGCTAACGTATGAAAGGAATCCTGATGGGGCAGAGGTTAAGCCCGTGGCTGCTCGTGGAAAAGTCGGTGGTTTGAACCTAGTAGCTGCTCCTCGGAGAGCAGGTGAGGCTGCAGCAACAATAGTCACTGTTGTTGCTGGTCGGTGCCGTAGAGCCGGTTGGAAATTCTATGGGCAGTTCTAGCCTGCTGTCTAGGGTGGTGATGAGTCGGAACTGATTTGGCAGTGGTGGAATTAGTATTATTTTTAATGACATCCAATATCGAGCATAACAAATTGATGAGGTTTTCTATTCCGGTAAAGATTTAGTCTTGGAAACCCACAGGAGCGATTCTACTTTGTCCTGTAGGGTCGCTATGAGAGAATCAATTCGGTGGCAGTGAGTTTGTTTGGTTTTAATGTTGAGCGCCGTGATTTATTTACTATCATCTCTCCTATGCTCCAGGTGGGCAGGGTCCTTACTAATTTTGTTTGCCATTCAAGCAGCAAGACCTAGAACACGGTGCATGGCATATGCCAGACATACACTGAGACTTCTTTTCTGACTGGCTTATTATAATCCAAAACCTGCACATTCACTGCATATGTTTAAAAAGTTCCAGTGGGCAAAAATAGTTTTTGTAAGTATCCTTTATCATACTTTATATGGGCAAAATATGAATTTATATAGTTTGTTTAGAAAGACTGAACTAAAACAATCTATGGTCTAAATGTGTAGCTCCTCTAGGGTCTGCAGTTTGCTGATCAAGTCTAGCGAGACGCTCACTAGCCGCCCAGTTTATAGTCAATGGTTTCTAAACAGGAGTAATAAACACAATCCAGTAATCATTTGGCTCCGTTATTGGCTTGAGGTTCAGTTTAATGACTGGACACAAACCAGACCCAGTAGCAGGTGACCCTCCACAGTCCACACCGCTGCACTTCCTGGTGGGGCAGGCGCATGCAGTCAGCACAAACGCATCAGGTAGGAGCAAGAGTTCTCTTTCCCAGAACCACGATTGTAACCACAAATGCCGGCTGAGAAAGCATAATTGTTGGGTGAGCCCAGCAAATGATAGGATCTTAGTTACAGGGTCTTTATTGTAGAATTAAGTATCATTTACTTCTTCTATGCAAACCACAAAATTAGCTATCCAGTGCCTATGGCGGGAGGCGGGAGCTGCAGCATTGCTGTTTGTCTGTCTAGCACCCCTCCCTCCCGCTTTTTCTGGGATGAGGACCCTTTCAGGTGGAAAAGGAGGCCTGGCGGTGTAGTGGTACAAGCTGAGCTGCTCGCCACAAAATCAGGAGTTCGAAGGCACCAGCTGCTGTTCCTTAGGAGAAAAATACGGCTATCTGCTCCCACGAAGATTCCCAGGCTCAGAAAGCCTACACGGAGTCGGCATCAATTCAGTGGGCGTGGCGTTGTGGCTGGTATTGTGCTAAATACCTCACATGGGAACTAAAGTGAACTGTGAAGCCCTGTCCCAGTGTTAAAATAAAACTGCCACTAAACATATTGCCTTGTCCTTGTGTCAACCATTATGAGGGCTGGCATACTTTCCTGTCCATATGCTAAAAAGTCCCAAGACCTAGCAAAAAGAATGTCTTGTCCTAAGCTATATTAACTCCTGAAAGGAAAGAAAAAAATAATTGTAAACCACAAAAACAATGCCTTTATCAAAACTAGCAGCTTCAGCTATTAAAAGATATAGCGCCTAGGGTCTTAAAGGCTTGAAGTCAAACAAGTGGCTATCTAGCAGGGGAACAACTAAGCCCACATGGAAGAAACACCCCAGCCTGTGCAATCATGAGGTGTCGATAAAACAGGTATCAAGAAGTTCAAAAACTATCATGTCGATATGAAGGAGAGGGGTCCAGAGTAGACACAGAAAGCCCATCTGTTGATAATTGGACATTCCTTCACAGAAGGGCCACACAAATGGAACAATATGTCCAGGATGCAGTATAGCACTGATGTAACACACATGCCTCTAGTTCAGCGGTTTTCAACCTGTGGGTCGCGACCCCTTGGGGGGGGGTGTCGTATGACCCTTTCACAGGGGTCGCCCAATTCATAACAATAGCAAAATTACCGTTGTGAAGCAGCAACAAAAAATAATTTTATGGTGAGGGTCACCACAACATGAAGAATTGTATTAAAGGATTGCGGCATTAAGAAGGTTGAGAACCACTGCTTCTAGTTCCTTAATACTGTACTTCCACGCCCCACTATTGTGGCCTTGGTTCTGCCTCACAAATCCTGCTGGATTGGTGTATGTACATTAGTACAGATAAGAGCTTTCCATCCAAGGAGTCTGGAAAGGTAAACCCCTCAGAAACAGTAATGGGAGTAACAGTTCCATGAGGGTATGGGAAGGGAGGGGAAACAGACAGCCACGATGGCTGTATAACCCCACTCGAGGGTGACGAATAACAGAATTGTAGGTGATGGGATACATCAGATGGTGCAAGCTATGAAAAAAAAATATACATACATAATATATTAAGGGTTCACAAAGGTGGTAGGGTTGGGGAGGGGGGAATAAAGAGGAGCTGATATCAAATGGCTTAAGAAGAAAGATTATGTTTTGAACATGATGATGGCAGCATCCGTACATGTTCACTTGATATAAATGATTTATGGATTGTTATAATACCTCTAAGAGCCCCCGATAAAATAATTTAAAGAAAGAAAAAACTAGTGGCTTGCTTACCACGATTCATTTCTGGGGCCTTGCTGGCCCCACCAAGCCAAAGCTATTTCACTTGAACCAGCCGCAACCAACTCTGTCATAAAGACCTGAAACATCAACCAGCTCTCCCAGGCTGCCCTCGTTGAGAAGGAAGAGCCTGCCAAGTCTCTCCCTTACTGCGGCAGCTCTAAGAAGCTTGGCTTTTGGTTTGCTGGGAAGCTTTGCCTGGTGGTCTCCAGGGGCATGGGAAGTTGACAAGCTACACATCCAATGCTGATCGCAGATTTGTTTTCTTTGAGAGTCTTCTAGGAAGTCATAACTCATCAGAAGGATGAGCTGTGCCAACCTCTACGTGCCAAGTCATTGCAAATGTCAAGTAACGAGCTAAATGCAAAGGCTCTCTGAAAGGCCCGGGTGCATTAGAAAGGGAGTGCACAGTGTCCCACACTCAACGAGAGCTTGCTGGGTTACTCAACTCTCCTGCTGCAGTGCCACAGAAGGACAAATGTGCTGCCAGCTTCTTTCCACACTGCTATTCTAGCACCGAGTTCGTCGGCGTGACCTTGGGAAGTTACTTGTGTAGAGCCTTTCCTAGGCTTAGGGAAGGCTTCACATGGCAGGCCCATGTCCATCAGGACAACTGGCCACGGAATTCTAAGGGCTGCTGGCTGTGATCACTAGCACTCAATGGCACTGTCTTGGTTTTTGGGGACCTTGAAAGTTTTCTGCTTTTGACTGGGTGCAGTTTTACCCGTTTTCTGTCACTCATTTCAGTGGGAAATACTTGTGGAGTGCTCCTTCTCTGTAGGTTTCTGCCTTCTATTGGCTCCAACTCTTGCAAGGTTTGTCCTGTATAACCAAAACCCCACTGCCATCACAGTGGATTCTGACTCATGGTGAGGCCACAGGTCCCAGTGTAGAAATGAACCACACAGGATGTCCAATGACGGTGACCTTCCTGAAGTGTATCTCCAGGCCTTTCTTCCAGGGTGCTCCTCAGTGGATTCAAACCGCCAACCTCCGGGATGGTAACTGACTGCCAACTGCCTGCTCTATCCAAGGACCTAATACTCATGACACATACAATTTATAGTGTAAGAAGTAAAAATAGAACTTTTTTTATCCAAAGGGAAAAAAATGAGACCCACTAGTTGGCGGCTAGCATTCTTGACTGAGACTGGCACACCTACCACACACATCTTCCTCAGCATCAGATTCTTCCAGGGCGATCTGAGGCTGGGCCTTCACCTCCAGATTTCTGCTGAGCCAGCTAGTTTGTTCCAGGGAAGAGCCAGCAATGTTCCCCACTGCTTCGAGGATTTTTTGCGTGACTTCCTGGATGTAATCAGGAGAAAGATGGAAGGAAGTTAGTTAATGACAAGAATCCAGCGGAAATATAATGCGAGCCACGCACAGTTAGGCTTCTAGGTGCCATGTCGAAAGGTAAAACTAAACTGGTAAGATTAACTTTTAATGTTCTATTTAACCCAATAGGAGGGTGAGTCAAAAGATATTGATACAAACCTTATCAAACAAAAATATCAAACTGTGAAGCTATTGATTCTGCATATATTCTCCTTCTAAGCTTAGCCATTCACAGTTTCTACCTCCCCCCACCCCACCCCCCAACAACAAAAGCATTCTGTGTGCTCTAATTTACACCATGTCAAATGGCAGTGTGGGCATTCTCAGGGACTCAAATTGTGGGGAACAATTTGTGGAATTGTTCTTCGAGTGGGGAACAAAGAACGCTCTTCAAGTGGGGAACAAAAAGAAGCCTGCGTTGCGAGATCGGGCTGATGGGTAAGGTTTTCCAAAGACGTTCTTGAAGGACAGCCCTTGCTACCCTCAAAGAATGAGCAGGCACACTGTAATGGGGGCCGGAAGGGGGCGGAGATTCTTCTCTGGCATTTTCCCCACCAATGCAGTTTTCACTCGTCTTAAAATACCTTCGAAATAAGCTCTGTGGATCATCCCGGGTCTGTCAAGAGAATCTACCAAGATTAGCCTTTTGGAATCCCCAAAGACCAGCTCCATAGCCTTCTGAACTACCTCTGCCTTGAACCGAACGGGCCCAGCAGATCCTCTTGGAAGCCCCTCTTTTGAATGGGCCTTTTTTTAACGGCACTCAGAGATGAAGTCAAGGTCATTTCTGAGGGAATTTGTCTACAGCCATCCACTGATTGTGAGACAGGTCTAAACACGTGTGTGTATGAACTGGAACCCTAATGCGAGCACGTTTTGGGGTACCCTCCTATATTCAAAGTAAGGCCAACATATAAGCAATAGAACATGGTGAGCTTTTGCATTTATTTCTTTCACACTAACATTTAGAAATCTGGTGTGTATCTTACAATTCCACAAAGCATTTGAACTGCCGACCTTTCGCTGCACAGCTGAGTGCTATTAGTAACTGTACCACCCAGGGACTCTGTTGCCTTTTATACAGAATAGCAAAAACCTTCGTGGTTGTCTGTGGTCAGCAGAATTATGGGTAATTTAAACTTTTTGTTTGTAATAATCTCAACTTCCAGGAACTTTTGTAAAACTCTTTCACATGTGGGGCCAGGTTGACTGATGGTTTACAATCAGTGTCATCTTTAGCTGCATGCTCATTTTCTTATTTATTTATTTATTTTTTGCATGCTCATTTTCTAATGCCCACCGGAGCACAGGCTGCAGACATCAAACCCCTTGCCATCTTTATGCTTGCGGGGTGATTTCTGAGAGCAAGGAGACAGCAGTCTTCACAGTGAGGGCATTTGCCATTGAGAAAGTACTCCACGTGCAGTTCTTCCAGTGGTTCTGGCAATAACCTTAAGAGCCATATTTCTTCCAGGCCGGGAGGCCATCCCAGACCACGCTGCATTCGGCCAATATTAATCCTGGCAGTTCCTTTACCTAGGAACAGCCTTTCTTTGCCTCTCATGGCCCGATGTTGGACATTTTACAAAGCAGAGCCCTTGCTTTTGTAGAAGGCCCCTCCGTGTGAACCTGTTTGGTTGGGGGAGAAGCACTCAAGTGTGGTACCCTGTCTGGCAGTGATGCTAGGACAATTCAGGTGCTCCTATTACTAGTCAGGCTAGTTTCTATTCAAAGGTGGTGTGGTGGTTACAACATTTCATGTCAACTTGAAAATATAAGACTGTAGGAGTGGAGTCCAGCCTGTCAAAGAGGTCACAGCCTGATGGTACCTCCTTGTAGGCATGACTTTCTCATAAGGTGGGGCCTGGTAACCTCCCCTCTCTCTCTCTGTCTGTCTTCACCTTCATGGCAGGAGCCATGCTGAGACCTGTGCAAGCCCTGTGATGCTTCCATTGGATCCACAAGACTTTGCACCCACCAGCCTGTGAGCTTCCCGCCTTCTGCATCCTTGCAAATGGTTCCGTGAGTCTCAAGAGGGACTCTTGTCCCAACTGCATTTGATATCTGCTGTGTTTCCTCCCCAAGTAAAGCACCCACACAGTAATGCACGGGAAGGATGACATTAAGTCAGACAGCTCTTGGATAGAACACCCTTGCACATATATGCACGTCTTGTGACATTTCCAGGAGGGAAGTTTGGCCTCATTTACCCACAATATAGGTAAATTGTATCATTCAGCTCATTTTCTTTTGTTCTGTTCCTTGTCTTTAATCTCCTTCCTATGTGCATAAAAATAGGCTGAAAAATTCTTACTTCTGATCGTAATTGTATAATAAAGGTATAAGGTCAAGAAGTCATGGATCATGTTTGGTTGTTCCCTGGTAATTGGAAAATAAACAGTCTGTAGCATACATTCATCATCAGTATAATGGGAAAACCTAACTACTCGTCTAAAGGGAAACCATTAGGTATGTCAGGGCTACTTATTTCATAGTGAATTCACGTCAATGGACGCGAGTAACATTCAAACAAAAACAAACTGGGTATAGTATGTTTATGAGGCTAATACACACACACAAACGGGGTGGCGTTTGGTGTGGTTGGGAAAAAAGTATATAAAGGACAAGTTATTTGCTAAAAAGGAAAACCCACTATGATTTGTGAGGCGTTCCTTGCAGACCATGTCCTTACCCTGTTCCTCATTAAGCCTATCAGGGCTACCTACATTCCATTCCAGGCTACGACAGGCTTTCAGTCGATGGAAGCATGACTACAAATGCTGCAATGTACGGCTACCTTTCTTCTTCATTTATCAGCTGGTGTTCAACGGCAAGGAGGGTTTCTTTTCCTGTGAGGGATTTTTGCTTTCACTTTTCATTGTTTACAATTCTGTCTTTGCATTGTTTTTATGGGAGTGGGGAAACAAAAGGTTTGAAGACCTGAATCTGTGAACAGTGACAGGGTGATTATTCCCATGATGTTTAAGAATAAGCTCCAAACATGCCTGAGTGGGGTGAGAAGGGTGCCATCTCTCTAAAGTCCACTTACATACACTGCTCAAGCGTGAGATAAGGACCTTAGTCCCTAGGCCTTGGACAATCTACAGACAGTAAAGGAAGAAGAGTTGGGAACAAAGGCAGCTTTTAAAAGTCAACTTCTGCCCAGTGTTCCTGATCGATGGTGACGTCCTTTGTGGAGGGGGCAGATGGTTAAGTGATGGGCCAGTTAGTGGCTCAAACCCACCCAGAGACACTGGGAAGAGAGGCCTGGCCATCTGTTCCCAAAGGTTTGAGGGGATCATGAACAATACAAGAGAGCTTCCTACCCACAAAGGACTCTGGGGAAGAACCTAAGAACCAGACAGAGCCTAGTGACTTGCAGGGAGAAAACACATCAAACACCCAGCTTCGTGGAAATGGCAAGTGGAACTCACTAGTGAAAAGACAAGCCCAAATGCAGAGATCCCACAGGGTTCTCATGGTCTCCTGCTCATAGCCTTCCGGGAACGCACTCAATGTATTCACCCACACTCCCACTGGTGTGCACAGACCTCTCCCTGGGCGACACTCAACACTTCCATGTCTGTCTGGTCGCTGTCACAAAAATCTTGATGTCGACCTCTGCATGTAAGTGCTCTAATGAAAGCTAAATCGGAACAACCTGGCTTTTGCTGCTCATTTTTGGAATTTGAACTGTGACCCTTGGAGCCACTTCTGCCATTGGTTTCGTGGAGTGTGAGTAGGTCAGAGCCCTGAAAACCCTGGGGAGAATTTTACTGCACATACATGAAGTTGTCATGAGCGGAAATCGACCAGACAGCAACTAACAACCAGAGAGACGCTGGGACACTGCTGGACTAGAAAACCTTTGCCGAACTTGCTGCGTGTACACACCTGCAGGTCTTTTTGGTACTTCTTGCTTTCCAGGCTGGGAGTTCTTGATACGAAGTCATTCAGCATGCTGTGGACAGACAATCAGCTTCAGATAAAGAATTCTGCAGACACAATGTTCCACCCGGAAACACCATGAAGGTGGAAATGCTGGGGCACGATACCTGAGGAGCAGGAAATACCCAGGTGGAGCTAGATTCAGCTGCACAGAGTCCTTTAATACTCCCAACAATGAAGGGAAGTTCTCTTGCAGGGCTGGTATTGGGAGCCTATTTGAAAAACACAAAGAAAAATCCCAACCATGAAGGTGTCAAAATGAAACATTCTGGCGCTAGGGAGTTGAAAAGCAGTTGGGGGTGGTGGTGTATGGAACTGCCCTGTTTGGTATTTTTGTATTAAAATATACCCAAGCTAAGTTTTAGTATTCTGGCAAGAACCGGTGGTTGGTAGACCTGGGCTCCTAGTGGTGAAAGGTCAGGTCCTCTTGGCTTCCTTGTTTATAAGATACAAGCCTTAAACGAGATGATTGCCATTGACCTCCGGAGCCTGCTTACCCTAATAGTCTGCCTGACGTGGTCCTAATCGTCCTTGACATTGTGGTGACATGCTGTCACCCATAAAGCAGCGAGGAATCATCCACCAGGAAGCTGAATGCTCAGCAGTTCTCAGGCGAATGAAGGGGGTTCTGCACTGGCCCGAGTGAGAACACCAGAGCTCGGAGGCCCAGGGTCAAGTCTTGGCTCCCCAACTTACTACTTCTTGTGTGAGCTTGGCAGTTCTTCCTCTGTAATAGGATGATGATAAAAACCTAACTTGCAGCTGCTGTGACACCCAGATGGAACGTGGGCCACCACGTAGCTGTTCGTGAATAGGACAATACTTACTAGCTCTCATGAGGGAAGAACTGACCCATTCATCTTTAAACTTCAGAGGAAAGCACAGCAGTGATGTTTGTGGTGAACGGTTGACAGCTTGTCGGACTGTAGTCTAGGGACACCTGCGCAGATGACCCTCAAATCACTCCCTTGCAACTTTGGTATGCAGAAGTGTTGCCTTGGGGTGATTATGGAACACCAACTGTGCTAACCAACAAGACTGTCCCTGGTTGTGAGAGCCATTTACTGTGGTCCTCCTGGCTCATGCACAGGGATAACAGGGCATGGCTTTCTTGAGATGAGGCTGATGTCCCCTTCACGCTCATCCTTCTTTTTCTCCCCACACCATTTATTAAAGAGACTGTCCTTTGCCCGTGGTAGAGACTTAGCATTCTTCTTGAAAATCACATGACCACAGATGTATGTTTTTATTTATTTCTGGATTTTCAATTCTATCTCATTGGTCTATAGATCTATCATTATACTAGTTTCAGAGTACTTTGATGACTGTGGCTTTGAAAGAAGTTTTGAGAGCATGAGGCTGAGTCCTCCCACTTCGTTCTCTTGCCCACACTGCTTTGGTTATTCCAAGCCCCATGCTATTCCATATAAATTTGAGAAGTGGCTCTTCCATCCATTTCTGCAGAGAAAGCTGCTGGAATTTTGACTGGTGGTATCCTGAATCTATGGATCACTTTAGGTAGCACTGATGTGTTAATAATACAAAGGCTCACTCTTATTTCTTGCAACAGAGAATGTTCCATACAGTGGGTGGTGGGCCGGGGGCATGGTGTGGTGTGGCGTGGCGTAGTGTGGGCAGTATGGAAAACGCACCTGGGATGTTGCCATTGTAGTTGCTGAAGGAGGCTCAAGGAGAGCATCCTTTCCTCCATGGAGAAAAGCCTGTGGAAGTACTTCCAGTGCCTCCTTCAGCTGAGGCTGCTTACAGCAGAGGCTAAGCTCAGGAAACGAAAGCCGGAGGCCAGGCCACCCAGCATTAAACATGTGACGTCACTGAGGTCAGCATCAAGATCACCACTTACCCTCTTATTCAAAGAGGCCACTACTGCCTCCTACTTAATTGTTTTCTGGACATCGATTAACTTGGAGCTGATGCTTTCTAAAGGTTAACAGTCCTTCAGGCACATGTTGCTAAATAAATAAAGTGCTCCACAAATTCACACGGGTTTTTCCACGTCCGGTTAGATCGGCAGCGAAGGAAGAGTTCGTTCATTCCCAGGCCTCTGGAGGACCCTACAACACCACGTGCGCATTTTCCGGACAAACGCTCCCCAGTCGCCAAGAAGTTAAGCTGTTCCTACGGTAGGTAGGGTCACCGCAGTAGTGCCTGTATTCCCCAAACGTTTCTCAGGAGATGCCATTACCTTTGGATGAACGCGTAGCTAAACTGCAGCACAGGAATATCCACGAGGGGCGATTTCTGAAAGGGAAGCAAGCCAGTAACTCCCGTCAGTAGGGAAAAAAGCCAAAAGGGAGTTCATATGCAAAATGAACCAGAGATGATCTATCTTAACAAAGTCAACATCTGGAGTCAAAGACGCTTGTAGCCCAATGTCCCACAAGTCCGAGAACACAAACGTGTCCCATGAGGCCCCAAATCCTTTGCATCTCTCTTTAAAGACATCTACAGTGATTTCCTGTTCTGTTGCCTTTCCATTCCAAGCTACCACAGTGCACTTGGGGAGAACTCAGAAATTCAACTGAAAAAAAAAAAAGAAAAAAGAAATACAACTGAACCAAAAGTTTGGGGGGGCAATGTTGACCTTTATGAAAGCACGTGACTCCCTACAGGCAAGAGACAATAACAAATGTCTTATTCTTATCTAAGGAGTCCTGGTGGCATAGCGGGCTTTGTATGGGCTGCTAACTGTTCAAAACTGACTTTTGGTGATTTAGCCGCTCTGCAGGAGAAAGATGAGGGTTAACGTTCCCTTAAGATTCATAGTCTTAGAAACCCCCAGGGGCAGTTTCACCCTGTCCCATAGGGTCGGTGGCAGTGAGTTGATTCTTTTTAAAAGTCATTTTATTAGGGGCTCGTACAACTCTTATCACAATCCATACATCCATCCATTATGGCAAGCACATTTATACATTTGTTGCCATCATCATTCTCAAACATTTTCTTTCTACTTGAGCCCATGGTATCGGCTCATTTTTTCCTCTCTCACCCCTGTCCTCCCTCCCTCCCTCCCTCACGAACCCTTGATAATTTATAAATTATTATTATTTTGCCATGTCTTACACTGTCCAATGTCTCCCTTCACCCACTTTTCTGTTGTCCAGTCCCCAGGGAGGGGGTTATATGTAGATCATTGTGATTGGTTCCCCCTTTCTCCACCCTTCCCTTCCCCTCCTGGTATCTCTACTCTCATTATTGGTCCCGAGGGGGTTATTTGTCCTGGATTCTGTGTTTCCAGGTCTGATCTATACCACTGTACATACTCGGTCTAGCCGGATGTGAGTTGAATTCTTAATGCAAGGAACTCCCTTATTTATACCTGGCCTAGATGACTCTCCTAAATCCTGATTGGACTACACAGAACCTGGTTCTAAAACATACAGTTTTATCCTCCTTCTCCTTGCTGTTAAAAAGCTATCTGTAGAAATTACAGAAATTAAGCCAATAAATTAGACTAACCACAAAATATTGGAGGACCACCAAAAGTGTGTCTGCCAGACAAGTGTTCTTTTTAGCCCAGGAGATGACTGTAAGTAGATATTTGCAGAAATTCAGATAGCATGATGCAACAGAACCTGCCAGTGCCTGTCCTGCCAGTTTGGAAAAGCTGCCTCAGGAGGAGGTCACCAGTGATTCCAGAGCAGAGGAGTCATTCCTGACCTTGGGGGAGCAGGGGCTTACTTCTCAGCTTCCATGCAACAGGCACGAGTTCAATTCCTGGCCAATGCACCTCATGCACGGATATCACCCATCTGTCAGGGGAGATTTTCATGTTGCTATGCAGCTGGACAGGTTTCAGTAGAGCTTCTATATTAAGACCGGCTAGGAAGAAAGCTCTGTCATTCGATCTCCAGAGCTCACGACAGTTGATTCCCACCTGGTCATGCGAATGGGATAACTCTGGGTAGTGAGTGTCTCCCCCACTGAGCATGGCCTCAAGGTGAGTTAGGGTGACCCTGACAGCAGTCTACCACAGGGGACTAACTACTAGTGTGAAGGGTCACTAGTCATAAATGCAAATCCACTGCGGACGAGGCCCTGACTCCATGCCCAGGGAGCTCAGCGACGTCCCTATCTGAATCCATGAGTGAGGAACTTGGGGCTGCGGCCCGGGCGGGAGGCCAGGGAGGCAGGCCTGACCATGAAGCTCGCTAGGGTCCATTTACATTCAATTCCTTTAACACTGAACCGGTTCCAAACACTTGCTCTCCCAGTGCTAATTTTGGGGGTGGCTATATATTTCAGTCCCAACTGGAATACAAGCTGATGGAGGAAAGATACTGTTTCCTTGTTTAGGACTTTCCTACTACACGATGTGTAGGAGCCCCGGTGGTGTAGTGAGTTCAGCAATTCAACCTCCATCTGCTCCAGAGGAGAAACATGAGGCCATCTGTCCCTTTAAAGACTTGCAGCCTCAGAAACTCACAGGGACAGTTCAACTCTGTCACATAGGGTTGCTACGAGTTGGAATTGACCTGATGGCAGTGATTTTGGCTTTTGTTTTGTTGTTAAGCCATGCGAGGCAGGATTTCCTGGGTTGTGAGAATGGTTAATGTGGTTAGCAGTTAGCTGAAAGATTGCTGGTTTAAATCCACCCAGAGGTGCCGCCGAAGAAAGGCATGGGATCTACTTCTGAAAAACCAGCCTCTGAAATAATCCTATGAAGCACAGTCCTCCTCTGACACACAGGCAGGGCCTAAGTCAGCGCTAACTTGACAGCACTCTGCGTGGTGCAGATGCTCCATTTTCAAGATGCTCTGCGGAGTAGAGAAGGGACACAGTGCAGCCCACGTGAGCGGTGAGAAGTCTGCAGAGAACAAGACCTCCAGACGTGGTGTTCTCCGCAGTTAGCACTCCACAGGGTCGTGTGCCAGGGAGCCTTCCAGGCAAGAGGAGCGGCAGTCGAGCTACCGAATGGGAAGATCCCACATCAGTGCGGTCGGTCGTCTCAGCTGTGAAAATCTCGAAAGATGTTCTGGGGTCAGGTGCCCCACTCCAGGGTGAAAAAAAAATCTGTGTCTGAAAAAAGAAGTCTTCAAAACCCAGGGGTTCGCTTTCGCTGACCTTCCTGACCCAACGTGCGATGACCTCACAGCCTGAAATACATTCCCCCCACAGGCCTGCCCTGGAGCCCTGCGGGCTTGCTTCCAGGCACCACAACTGAGCACGGAACCGACAGAGGAGCACTGCCATGCAGTGAGGACCGTGATAACGGGAGGCCCGTGAAGAGTTCTGGCTCCCCGGGGCCTCTAAAAGTTATGTTCTCACTGGACCGTATGCTATTCAGTGTGCAACAGCTCTTTGGAAAAGTTTGAAATAATGTGAGCAGTACCAACGTGTGACTCGGAGACACCAAGCGAACACGTGCACACTGTCGGACAGTAAGGGCATGGAGGGACGCAGTCCAACACAAACCTTGACGAGGAGAGAGTGAGCCCTCCGTGGGGCACGAGGAGGCAGAGGGCAATACAAGAAGGCGCTTCCCATTCCACTCATTTTCACGTGAGTCTTCATTTAAATTAGGGCTCAATTAAAACGCTTTGCTGGCAGGCAATTATTTCAAGGTCGCCATAGAGCCTGGTTTCCATCATGTTACTTAGGAGCAAGACAGTGCCTGCACTTTAGGTGAAAAGCTTTGCTTGGACAGAAAACAAGGCACAAGCAAACCAAACCTCCCCAGGGACCCACACACCGAGCCGGGGTCAAATCTACTATCTACCAGTAAGAGGTCCCCGTGGGACCTGTACTCCTCGAACTGCAGGAACCAGGCAGGAGGCCATGAGGTGCTTCCCGGTCCTCAGGTGGACCTTCACGCGGAAGTACTCCGCTCTCACTGCGGCCAGATGAACTCTCCCCTTCAGAACCTCTAGCAGCTGCTATGTCCTGAGCTCTTTGTGTTTCACTTTGGTCAGAATTATGCACCGTGTCTACGTCGGGCCCTTTTAGGCTGCCAGTTCCTGGAGGACATGTGCCATTTCCTCTCTCTGAAGATTTGATTAGACTTGGCACCCAGTAGGTCCTTGACGATGGAGTTCCTGGGTGGTGCACATGGTTGACATGCTCGGCTGCTAACTGAAGGGTTGCCGGCCCAAGTCCACCCAGAGGGGCCTCAGAAGGACGGCCTGGCGATGCACTCCCCAAAGTGGAGCCAATGAAAACCTTCAGGAGCACAGTTCTACTCTGACACATCTGGGCTGCCATGAATTGAAATCAACTTACTGAAGACTGCTACTGGCGGGTCCTTCCTTGATCAGAACCCTGGCACTGGATGATGGGCTCTGCTACAGGGATATGAGGATGGCAGCCATTCCCACTTCAAGAGCTCCTACCTTCAAACAGGAGCATCAAAGCGCAGCAGGCGCACGACTTCCCCAGAGCATCTTAATGCCCTAATACCACCCTCTGCTTGCAGCATCAGGATATCACAGCTGTCCTACTGACTGCCACCAAACAGATTCTGACTCACAGGGACTCTATAGGGCAGGGTAGAACTGCTCCCGCTGCGTGTCCGAGACTGTTACTCTTGATGGGAGTAGAAAGCCCATCTTTCTCTCGAGGAGCGGTTGGTGGTTTCACACGGCTGACCTTGCTGTTAAGCAGCTGTGATGCCGCTCCCTACGTAACCACCAGGGCTCCTCCTAGTTGCTGGGCCAGTGGCAGTTCTTGTTTTCCTGGCTGCTCTAAATAATTGCCACTTGTCCAGGAAAACAATATCTAAGACGCAGAGTCGGGGAAAATGCCCAACATTCCCCTGGCGAGGTGCTAATCCAAGGCTGCTGGCTTCCCAAGGCCCATTACCTCGTCCCCTTTAATTTGCGGTGGCTTCTTGACCACTTCCTTCACCAGGTGCAACACCGTGTCAGTCTTCAGAGTGCTGAGCGCACAAACCAAGTCCACCAGGGTGAGCTGGGAGGCACTGGCCACAGGAACGATCTGCCAAGAGAAAACAAGAAAGACCACACTGTAAACCTGTAGACGGGAAATAAAAATACCCTGGTATGGTTGTCCCTGGAGAAGGAAGTCAGTTCCTGCACTATGTCTCCAGTGTTGTCCCCTGTGGGGCTATGGTTCATTGAGGGATGCTGTTCTTGTGGTGGGGCCGTCCCTACGGTCCTCTCTGTGCACTGTCTGCTCCAAGCAGGAATATTGTCCTCAGGGCTTGGTGGGCCCGGATGTGCTCCCCTTCCTCTCCATCCCTTTTCTTTCTTCTGTGTGCTCTAATCTGACGTGCCCCTCTCCCCAAGCTGACGCTCCGGTGCTACCCTCTGAAATGCATTCTTCTGGTGGGGGAGGAACAAAACAATCTTATTACATTCAAAGTACTCTCCATTAAATTTAATACAGTTGTCAAATCTGTGATTCTATTCTTTTGTGTGTGTGTGTGTGTGTGTGTGTGATTCTATTCTTGGAAACATTTTTCAAACTTATCTGTTTGGGTGGCTGATAGCCCTCCCTCATTTTTTTCTTCACTTCTTGTCAAGTATCTGATTTTTATGTCCCTCTTCATTTACAGAAACAAAAAGAAGTCACACTGAGTGAAGTCAGGTGAGTAAGGGACATGGGGCAGAAGAGGCATGCTGATTTTAGCCAAAATCTGGCATGCTGAGATGGCTGTGAGCAGGTGCATTGTCCTAGTGGCAAAACCAGTTCCCCGTCTGCCACAAGTCAGGTCTTTTTGATCACACACTATTACACAATCTTTTCAGAACCTTAAATAGAAAGCTTGATTAACAGTCTGATCTGGTAGAATGAACTCCAAATGCACTATGAGTTGACATTTTTGTCCCTTCAGGAAAATATGGACTTCCAGAACGAGGTTTGTCATCGATAAACATTTCACCTTTTTTGAAACGAGAAAACCACTCGTATGCTTGAGTTTTTCCCGTAGCACTGTCCTTGTAAGCTGTGTTCAACATCGCAACTGCTTCTGAGGCATTTTTCCCGAGCGGGGAACACAATTTCATAGGCACACACTATTCTCTTAAATCGGCCATCACAAGAAAGAGATTTGAGTGAACGTGCTTTTATGAAAAAATTCAAGGTGACCAGAGGGAACCTTCCCAGGTGATGTTACTGGGTGCACTAACTCAGAGCGAGTTGCTGGGTGCTTGCCTAGAGGGAGAGAAATGTGTACTACAAAAGCTCTGCTCCACCCAGCACAATTCCATTTTCTTTGGCGGGGTACCCCCTCATATAGATGAGCTTTGTTGGTTTTCTTCTGTTGCAAATCTAGCCTAAGGTAGTATTTGATGTACATCACAGTTGGTGACAGGGAATACCACTGGTGTTTTACTTAGTGTACTACACAGAAATACCACAAGTGGATGGTTGCAACAAACAAATTTATCCTGTCAATCAGAGGGCCAGCTCTATGAAGACTTTCTCTCTCGGTAGGAAGGCCTTTTCTCTTTTCAGCATCTGTGGGCCCAGTCTCTTGGAGACCTGTGTGCTTTGACGTCACTTCTCAGCACAGGGACTCTGGGTCCAAAGGACATGCTCTGCCCGTGGCCCTTCTTTTGTAGTGGCAGTGAGGTTCCTTTCTTTGCTCACTTCTCTCCTTGGACTTCTTATAAGGTCAATGGTGATAGAGGCCACATCCCAAGGAAACGTCTTGTTCATGGCATCAGTAAGGGCGCTGCAGCCCACCCTAATCCCTTTACTTCGATACATAATTGCCAAGCGTCAACGTCATGGCCCAGCCCAGTTGCCACCTATTTTGGGACAGAAGTCAATCCGTGACAGCTGGTGTGCCTGAGTTAGAAAGCATTTTGGAATCAGATTATGCTTGACTTGAAGGAAATAACGCAGAGTCAGAGACGGACCCAAAGTACCAAGTCAGTGAGGCAAACAGAAATCATGCTAACACACACTGGCCTTGCCAGGAATGTCTCTGTAGGGGAGGCACCCTGCTGATTCTAGACCTCTGTACCAGGCGACTAGACCCGGCTGGCACTAGGTTTATCACCAAGAAAGGTCCTCACAGATCCTCTGCAGGGCGGCCTGGGGACCAACTCTCACCCCAGCCAAAGGACTCTGGAGGGCGTCCCAGAGGTGAGACGGTCCTCTCAGAGGGAGGAAGGGGAATGGGTCAACTGATGAGGACACGAGTGAGGACTGTACTGGACTTATGTAAGAAATGTGTAAGTCAAACATCCAGGCGAATAAAAGGCCAGGTGAAGTTAGCTTTGGGTATAGGAAGATGATGATACTTATTCACTTCAGGGTAATGGGCAAATATTGTTTTTATAAATTTTTAAAAAGCTACAAAACAGTACTACAGGCAGGGCCGGGCACACAGGGACTCCCACAGTCTGACAGCAAACCAATTCTGAAGCTGGGTGGTAGGTCCGTGGGTAGGCTCTGTTTGCCTGTTTCTAGGGTGGCTGAAGCTGAGATGATGGTTAGAGGACTCGTGGTCTCACAGAGCAAGGCCACTAAGAAGGATGAGGAAGAGGAGTGGAGAGTGGCAGCAAAGACCTCATTGGCAAATGGCCCTCCTTCTAAAATACATGCATCTCTCTCTCTCCCTCCCTCATAAGAACCCCAGGCTGGTACAAGTGATTAGCATCCTGAGCTGCTAATAGGAAAGTTGAAGGTCCAGGCCAATCCAGAGGCACCTGGAGGACAAGCCAGCCACCGAAAACCCTGTGGATCACGGCTCCACTCTGACACACACGCCATGACTCAGTCAGCCCTGGGGTAAGTGGTACTGGTGCCGACACAAACAGAATGGGATGGGCTCCTGCTCTCTGGTGGCTCGTGTAAAGGTGCAGAAAGACATTCAAACAAAATGTCTCTTTCCCGCCACATCCAGTCCATGAGAGTGTCTAGTCCATTCTAATTAGCCTTCTAATTAGGTGACACTTTAAGTCTTTACAATACATGGGCTATAGGTACACTCCTGTATGTACAGTGCTAGATATGGGGTGGGAAGGTTCAATAGAAGTTGCATTTGCTCTTTGTAGGAAAACCAGAAAACACAGGCCAGAGGTGGGTTCTGTTCCCTCCATGCCCTCAACCCAAGGTTTCACGAGCCTCCCATGCTGGCTTTGCCCACCAGCTTTGAGTCTGTGGGCCCTTTGGTAGCTCCTTGTCAGAGGAAGGGTACCCAGTGCTCTAATGGTCGAGCCTTACCTTCATTTTACTGTGGCGTTTCACTTTCTTCCTGCTCCACACCGCTGCGACAGCTGCTATTAGCTGAACCCCAAGGTGGGCAGCCAGGGGATTCAGGAAGTCTAAAATCTTTTGTCTTATGGTCTAGAAAACCAATGGGAACAAGAGAGGTTATTGTACCACCAGGCCTATCAAACATGAAAGAGTTACAGCCTGTTCTATTAAAGAGTTACCGTTTCCTAAACCCACAGGGGCAGTTCTACTCTATCCTACTGGGTCGCTGTGGGTCAGAATTGACTCTGTGGTGGTGGGTTTTGCTTTTTGGAATTTCATCGGACTCCCAGGTGCCTGGATGGTGTAAATGGTTTGACCACAGGGCTGCTCACTAGGGTTTTGTTTCCCAAGCTGTGACCTTTCAGAAGCATGCTGCCAGGCCTCTTCTCTGAGGTGCCTGTATGGGGAGGAATTTGAACTACCAACCTTTCCGCTAGGAGTCCAGGAGTGGTCACCATGAACTGGAACCAATTTGATGGCAATGAACTCAAAGGTTGTTGGGCCTAACCTACCCAACGGGGCTACAGAAGGAAGGCCCGGTGATTTGTTTCTGTTCAGATCACAGCCAAGAAAAGTCTACCTACGGGACACAGATCTATACACACAGGGTGTGTAACACACAGGGTGGCCGTGAGTCTGGGTGCAGGGACCACACTGCTTGGTGTTCCCAACACGTGCAAGTGGGCCCCTGCACAGGGAGGGGTGTGAGCAACTCTGAGCCATGACACCCCAGGGAAGGTGCAGAGAGCCTCAGTGTGGCGAGAGCCAGGCAGCTGTGCTGGGCAGGGAGAGAGGCGTGCTGGCAGTCAGTGAAGATGGCCCTGAGCAGCACCCCTTCTCCCAGGGCAGTCTTGCAGGGGGGCATAGAGAAGGGGTCTGAGCAGCTGAGTTGGCTTGATTTCCACCCCCACATCCCACAGCCTAAGGTTGGGTCCATTGGAAACACCGTTTAACATTTCCAGGCAGAGAGAACCAACTCACCAATGCCATTCTTCAATCTGTTACATATGGACTAAAAATCAGTGCCTGTTTGTGCCAGCTGCCAACCAGCTTGAAGAACAAAGCAATCAGCATGGCCCTGTGTGCCAGCTGCCAACCTTGGCAGAACAACGGGGGGGGGGGGGGGTTCAGTTGTTCTACCTGCGAGGACTTTTCCGAAAAGACAACTTGGGCTAAATGCTCCAGAAACATCAGCCATTGCTTATATGCCGTTATCACCATGAAAAATAAAACCAAACCCACTGCCGTTGAGCGGCTTTGGATTCACAGCAACCCCACAGGACAGGGCAGAACTGCCCCCATGGGTTCCCAAGACTGCAACTCTTTTTATTTTAAATCATTTTATTGGGGGCTCTTACAGCTCTTATCACAATTTATCCATCCATCGTGTCAAGCACTCTTGTACATAATGTTGCCATCATCGTTTTAAAAATATTTTCTACTTGAGTCTTTGGTATCAGCTCATTTCCCCCCAACGCCCTATGAACCCTTGATAATTTATAAATTATTATTATTTTCATATCTTACATCATTCACTGTTGTCCCTTCATCCACTTTTCTGTTGTTGTCCTCCTGGGGGGGGTTATATGTCTATCACTGTTATCAGTTCCCCTTTCTCCCCCCACCTTACCCTTACCCTCCTGGTATCGTTACTCTCATTATTGGTCCTGAGGAGTTTATCTGTCCTGGCTTCTTTGTGTTTTGACTCTTATCTGTACCAGTATACATGCTCTTGTCTAGCTGAATTTGTAAGGTAGAATTGGGGTCATGATGGGAGGGAGGAAGCATTAAAGAACTAGAGGAAAGTTGTATGTTTCGTTGGTGCTATATTGCACCCTGACTGGCTCATCTCTTCTTTGTGACCCTTCAGTAAGGGGATGTCCAATTGTCTACAGATGGGCTTTGGGTCTCCACTCCGCCCTCCTCCTCATTCATATGAAGACTGTAACTCTTTATGGGAATAGAAAGCCTCATCTTTCTTCTGCAGAGCAGCTGGGGTTTTGAACTGCTGATCTTGTGGTTAGCAGCCCAATGTGTAACTCACTACACCACCTGGACTCTTTCTGGCATCATCCCAAGGTGGGATACTAATCACAGTCACATTTTCCAGATGAGGAAACAGATTCAGAGAGGTTAAGTACCCAGGGGTTTTCGGCCTCATTTTATGAGGAGCTATGTACTTTAGGTAGGCCCTCAGGTAGGTCCGCTTGAAATGTGGTCAATTGCTTACTGAACTTTCTGGATGTTGTCTGTGCACTAATAGCATGCAGCTTTGGGCGTCAGGCTGCCTGAGTCTCAACCCAGTTCACCCACTAATAGAGGTGCAAGCGTGGACACCTGTAATCCACACCTGTCATCCGGGAATGATGATAGCTCCTGCCTCAAACTGTTAGCCTGAGGATTAAATACCCTGATATATGCATAGCCCTCTGGAGGATGCCTGGGTCACACTTCTAGCTGAGGAACAGGCACCAGGGAGCTGAGTCACCACTGAAAACGAAGCCTCGCACCTTGTGCCCAGCCTGCGAGGTTCAGACGGTTGAAAGGAGAGAGGGAGGGTGAAGCACGGGAACTCTGAGTTGGGTTTCAGGTGGAATAAAACCCCTCAGGGGCCCCCACTATAGCACCCTGACTTGCGCACGTGCCAGCCTCATGATCAAAATCAGAGCACCAAGATCAGCTGTGCTATTAATGAGCTTTTAAAGAACAGCAAGGACACTGGCTATCCATGTTGCCAAAACCCAGACATCTAATTTGTGGTTATTTTCAAAACATAGCTTAATAAACCATGGAAGATAAGTCATAGCAACAACAAAAGAAACTTAATAAGCAAGGGGAGAAAACCAAGAAAGTAGGTTGCTACCCATTCACCAAGCTGCAACACATTTTTTGGTGGTGGTGAGGGGAGGTTGTGTGCACAGAAAAAAACACATTAATGTGCCCTCTGGTTCCCCAAAGGGATGGAAAATGGATTCATAAGAAGCAACTTGGATTAGGGGAGGGTGGGGAAGAAAGGGGGAATAGATCACAAGGATCAATCTAGAACCCCCTCCCAGAGGGACAAATAACAGAAAAGTGGGTGAGGGCAATGGAGGACGATATAAGATATGGAAATAATAATGTATAACTTATCAAGGGTTCATGAGGGAGGGAGGGCGGGCGGGGAAGGGAGGGAGAAGAAATGGGGAGCTGATATCAGGGACTCAAGTGGGAAGAGAATGCTTTGAAAATGATGAGGGCAGCATATGTGCAAATGTGCTTGACACACTGGAGGAATGTACGGATTGTGATAAGAGATGTAAGAGATCCTTTTCTGGTTCATAAGTAAGATGATTGGGCTTTCACATGTTTCTGTGATATGTGCCTCCCTTAATCCTTGTTATGACGCCGGCACATTACCCATCTGACACGGAAAAAAAGAGATGTAAGAGCCCCCAATAAAAGTTTTGTTTTGTTTTGTTAAAAGGAAGCAACCTGGAAATGTCTGTTCCTAGTTACCTTCTGATGTGGGTCTCACTGAGTCCCCTTTCTTTGGTTACTTGTGTACATATTTGTGTTCGAGGGGGGGGGGGGGGCGCGCTTCAAAAAGTTCAGGAGATAACTTTCGGCATCTTTGAATTCCACTTGTCCACGTGCTTGTTGGAGCCCCTCCTCATACTGGTTAACTGTTGGCAGAGCAGGACAGAACCCAGGCAAGACCAAGGCCCTGAGGAAGGTCACTTACTTTGGTGGTTTTAAAGTACACGGAGGAGGAGCCTTTGGTGGCCCCGAGGAGGTCAACGGGTCTCTTCTGAGCCTCTTCCTTCCTGAGCACGTTCCAGAGCAGGGCCATGGTGTTGACGATTCTCGGCAGCTCTTCCAGGATGGCGTTCTTGGCGTTCCTCAGGCTGGTGAGGTCACCTGCTGCAGTGCTCTACAAGATGAGAGTGGGCCTGGGACGAGCATCCGGGCCTATGGAATAGCTCCCTTCTCTAAGGGTGGCCGTGCTGGTGGGGTCCAGTGTGGGGAGCTGAGCTCCCCAACTGAAGCATGCGGTATACGTGGGGGCCGAGCAGCAGGGCTGCTTCCCTGAGCACCTAATGTCAACCCACTGTTTTCTCTTAAAGGGAGACACCTGGAACTTGAGCACGTGGCTCCATGTTATACAAATGTTCAGTTCTACCAAGGGGCCACAAGCTGGATTCTGAAACCTAATCTCAGAGAGGGTAGGGTGGTTCAAGGGCAGCAAAAAGCCCTGGGCCAGATGGATGGACACAGTGGCTGCAACAATGAGCGCCGGCATGAGAAAATCGTGAGGATGGCGCAGGACCGGGCGGTGTTTTGCTCTTGAGCACAGAGTCGCTATGAGTCGGAACTGACTTGACAGCATCTAACAACAAACAACGAGGCGGATTCCACATACACCACGGGGACAAATTAAAAAAGCCGCGGAAGTGAGATGAGCATCAGCTTCGCACCAAATGAGGGACTCTACATTTTATCAGCCTGCCACTCAGGAAACAGTGGACCAGAGCTGAAGGAGCCCTGGGGATACCAGCAGGAAGAAGCCAGTTACAGGTTCAGGCCAGCGCCTGGGCTCGGAACAGTCCTCGCCCAGCGTACACTGAGCAACAGCGAAGCCGGGGGAGCGAGCTCACCTTTTTGCTTTGGCTGGGTTGTTCCAGAAGGCAGAAGTGACCGATGGTGGTGAGACCTTCCAAGAGAGTCAGCGGGTAATCCGGAGACATGTTTTCCCTCTTGGAGGTTGTGCTTTGGGGAAAGGAATGTGAAACGGGCTTTGAGACATTTTAAGAATGAGTTTGCAGTCTTTTGTTTTGGGGGTCTTCCCCCTCCTCCCCCTTTTAAACAAAAACCGGTAACATTCACATAACCTCAAATTAACCAGGGAGGCCTGCCGCAGGAACCATTAGTCGGTGTGGTGGGTCACAGAAGCCTGCCACCCTAGAGGGCAGTGGCCCACGGGGGAGACAGCCTTCTCTGACACGAACAGAACCCCTCAGAAGGAAAACGCCTAACCACGGGAAATGTCCTTGGCCTCTTCTACATACCTAGTTGCACTGGGGAAAACGTGTTAGAATGTCCTGGACAGTGATTCCCGTTGATCATTCCCGCTTTGCCCTTCAACCCTCAACAAGCCTGGGATGACAATGACGAGATCTGAGTCTTCAGTTCCTTGGCATGCCTCTTGGCAACGCTAAGTAGGTTTCTGTTTATAGTGAAGTGGCTGTCTAGCTGGCACCTCTTCAGTGCCAAAGCTGTCATTACCAACATCATGCTGCACCACAGGGGTCCGCATGGGTCCCTGGGCTTTTGCTGGGCTGGTAACCGCAAGGTGGGTGGTTGGCCTCCAGCGAGCAGAGAACACGGAAGAAAGACCTGGTGATTAGGTGTCATAAAGATGGTTAAGAGGACCCTATGGGGCAGTCTACTCTGTAGGACCTGGGGTCGCCATGAGCCGGAACCAACTGGAGAAGTCAACTGACAACAACAACAGAGGGGAGGGCGGCGTACCTGACAGTGAGCTTCACAGATTCGCTTTCATACTGCTTGACCAGCTCATCCAAGTTCTTGCAAATCTGCACCATGAAGGGTGCCACTGTCCAGCCCAGGGACTTCCCGAAGTATGGCAGGGAATGCGTGACCAAGCTGACCCAGGCTGGGTGCATGCCGTAGCCGTAGGCAGGCTGCAGGCCCCGCACCACGGCCGAGACCAGCAGGCCCTGTGAGGTGAGGGGGTGTGGCTGCACGTACTGCAGGGCACTGATGGCCTGCTGGAAGCTGAGGGCCCGCCGCCACTCTCGGGACAGCTCGGGCTGGCTCTCGGCCTCCTCTTGGGCCTGGCCCAGGTGGTGCTCCAGGACGATCAGCACCTGCAGGAGCTTGAGCAGCTCGATCTGCAATGGATGCTCGCTCCAGATCTGGTCCTGGCCCAGGTTGATGAGGCTCTCCTCCAAGAGGTTGTCCGCCGGCTGCGCCCGGCCACGCTCGCAGGTGGCCAGCCCGTAGCGCTTCTGGCTCGTGTACATGGACGCGGAGAGGGAGAGCAGCACAAACTCCTGCACTTTGCACCTCTGCAGCAGGCTGTGGATGAAGTCCACGTTCTTCCCTTCCGAAGACTTGGCCGTGGAGACCAGCTGCGCCATCACTCGGATGAGAACCTCCACGCTTTTGACCTGCACGTCCCGGTTGCCCAGGATGTCTCGGTGGGAGACCTTCAGGTAGCAGGGGTAGTAGGAGCGCAGGAAGCTCAGGCACAGGTAGGTGAGGATCTCGATCAACAGGGAGTGCGGGCACACGTTGGGGGACTGCGTCTGCAGCTTCCCGTAGAAACTCTGGCCCACGAGGGCCTCCTGGTGGCGGGCGAGGAGGTTGGAGATGAGGTTCAGGTGCGCGGTGGAGCTGGTGTCCATGCTGGTCCTGGACACTGCCTCGATGAACTCCTTGGGGTTGGTCTTGAGCACGGCCTCCAGCACGGAGAAGGCGTAGAGGACCCGCCGGGAGTCGTAGGGCTGCAAGTAGAGCAGGATGTGCTTGAACAGCGCCTCCAGCGTCTCCTGCCGCGCCCGCTGCTGCTTCAGCAGCCGGGACGTGGTGAGCGCCTGAAGCTCCAGGTCGGCTTCCTCGTCGCTGGACAGCGACTCGGAGGCCTGCGTCTTGTCCGAGTCCGCGCGCACCAGGCCCAACTTGGCACTGGGCTTCGAGTGCTCCAACTGGAAGGCGGCCAGCGGGCCCGAGCGCTTGGCGTAGGCCCTGCCGACCGCGGGGAGAGGGGCACAGCAGTTCTCATCGCTGCTCAGGTCTCGTGGGTCATGGGACGGGGATGAGAAGGAAGACGTGTTCTCGCTGTCCGTGTGGCCCAAACTCGTGTCTGCGGACTCCGTGTGCTCGCTGCTGTCCCGGGCACCGGGCGCGGTTGACCCATCGGGCAGCTCCACGTAGTACGGGAGGTCGTCCTCTGTCAGCTCACAGGGCGGCGGGCGCTTCTCGGGCTCCTTCTCCACCTCCGCCCAGATGGCCTCGCGGTCCACGGTGGTGAACTGACTCAGGGGCAGGCTCTCCTCGGCGTCACCTTCCAGAAGCCCAGGGGCCTCTTCAAGGCAGGTGTCCTTGAAGGAGCTGTTCTTCCTGTGGAACCAGCGGTGCAGGTCCTCTGGAAAGCAAAGCGACCAGGGCTTTAGGAGGGCTGAAGGTTCGTGTGGGCTTGGTCTTAGAGCTTGACCACCGCTTAAAAAGAACATTTCAGTATGATACGAAGACATGGAAGTGAGCAGAGTGAATGGATGGTTAAAAATGGCGATTTAGTTAATGTTGTCCTGAGAAATATAAACATCACAACCTTTAAGGAAGGGAAGTTGAAAATTGTGCACCTTTTTTTTAGGGGGAAGGTGTTCCTAAGGGGATCCCGGTCAAGAAATGTATTCAGCAGAAATATCAGCAGAAGGGTTTCAGAGTTTTAATAATGATAAGGGTATTCACTGAAACATCATGTATCAAGACAAAATGGGAGGCGAATAACATGCCCAGTCAGAAGGCGACTGAAAATCATGGTTCATGTAGGCAACAGGCTACTACTCTCAGGTTTTAAAAAGATTTCTCTCTAGGTAGTTGTGGTAGTTACATAATCTGGTGTCAACTTGGGACTTGAGAGGGTTAAGCGTGAAGGGGTGGAGTCTAGACTGTCAATTGGGTCATAGCAATGAGGCTTCTGTGTGGGCATAGTCTTTGCCTGAGAATTCTGGGAACGCTGGTATTTCCTGCTTGGAGATGGGAGACAGACTCTCTCAGCTCACTCTCTGGGAGACATTGCAGCTGATAAGACACATGGAACTACGTTAGTGCCCTGAGCTGGAGAAGCCACATGTGTTTCATGAGGACTTTATAGATTAGTATCGGACATAGCTGCTAATATTGGACTTACGGGCTTGGACTGGAGTGGGTTGGGATGCTTTCTTAATGTACAATTACCCTTTATATAAAACTTTCTCATAAGAGACTCATACATGAGTCTACCTGGATTTGTTTCTCTAGTCTACCCAGACTACCACAGCAGTGATGTGCAACAGTGCAGGATATAGTGTGTGAAGAAAAAATAAACACAAAGACAGAAGCTGTAGAACAGGATGCCTAAGATGAGCTCATGTGAGAAAACAGAACAAAGACAAAAACTCACCGTCCTTGAGTCAATTTTGACTCATAGCAACCTTACAGGACAGAGTAGAATTGCCTCTTGGGGTTTCCAAGTCTGAAAATCTTTATGAGAATGGAAAGACTCATCTTTCTCTCCCAGAGTAGTTGGCGTGTTAAAACTGCTGGCCTTGGGGTTAGCAGGCCAGCGCATAACCCACTCTGCTAGCAGAGTGCCTTTATTTAAGAGAGAGAGAGAGTTTATAAAATAGAGGCAGTGTTGGTCCAGTGGTAGATTTCTCAGCCTCCATGCGAGAGGCCCCAGTTTGATTCCCTGCCAACTCACCTCATGCCCAGCCACTGCCTGTCAGTCAGTGGAGGCTTGAGGGTTGCTATGACACTCAACAGGTTACAGTGGAGCTTCCAGACCAAGACTGACTAGGAAGAAATGCCTAGACATAGCCTCATGAGATGAAAACCCTCCGGATCACACCAGTTCAATCTGCAACCAATCACCAACAGGAAAGGCAGGATGTACTCTAGGCTGCCAGGAGTCAGGGGCAACTGGATGGCAGGTAACAAGAACAGCTCTCTAGGCAGAGAAAGGCTGAGAGAGTAGCTGCCAAACCAGGACGAGTCACGAGCTGGCAGCTGGCATTACAAAGGACTTGCCCTTGTGTTGTTCATTTGGTATTTTAACTTTGAAAAATCACACATTCACACATCTGTAATCTGCACATGTGATTCGCACAGCACTTTAAAATGGTCCAGGTCTCTCAAAAAAAAAGCCTTTGGTAACTGCCAAACATGCTTAGGGTGCAGCTTTCAACAAACCTAGTCAGTGCATGCACAGCTAGATTAGCAGGAGGACTAATTAGGGTAATAGAAATCAGAGAAGCTGCCTTGACATGTAAAGGAATTTTTAAAAACAGATTTCCCCAGGGTTACAGAGGTCAGCCGTCCATATCTAGCTTCTTCCAGGGGAATGAAACAGCAGAGTACAGAAGTTCTGCTTGTTAGCGAGCAGCAGACCATTCATTCCTGGTGGCCTGGAAAATAGCGATTAGAGAAAGCAGTAAGGTAGTGCCCTGTGGAGGCTGCCAGGCCTTTTCCCGAGTCTGCTGAAACCGGTTTGCATCAGAGCAACACGCCGGCCTCCCCTGACAGATGGGTGGTAGCTGCATATGAGGTGCCCTGGCTGGGAATCGAACCTGTGTCCCTCACATGGAGGGCATGTGACTCCGGTTCCTGTGGCCCACCCTGCTCACTACTTTGGGGGACAGCCTGGCACTTACCTGTTGAGTTCTCCTGCTTGAGGCAGTGGATAGAGGTCCTCTGGGTCTTGGGCTGGAGCAGCAGCAGGAGCACCGGCTCAAGGATACGTGCCACGTCCCCAAGGGAGAGTGCCCGCACCAGCCAGCCCTGGGCTGCTGCGCCAATGGCGCCATCTGAGCAGGCCAGGCTGTCCAGCACGACAAACAAGGACCTGTGGGTGGGACCCGCATAACCACATCACCTCATCTGCTCCGACACTCTGCTGGCCCCCATGCTGAGACTGAAGCAGGCAGCAGAGAGGCGGTACTGAAGGAGGATGGTTCTCAGGGAGAGGCCTTGGCCTTGGTATGATGTGCAAATCACCAGGGAGCTTGTGAGATCCCAATGGCCAGGCCTTGCCCTGAACTGGCTGCCTCTGACACGGGGAGTGGGGTCGGGGCATCAGACTCAGCCACCAGCTCTCTCAGACTGCATGTCTAGCCCTATACCTGCAGTTCCAAAGATGGGCCCCAAACTAAACACCAAACCCACTGCTGTGGAGTTGCATGCCGACTCACAGCGACCCTCTGGGGCAGGGTAGAACTGCTCTGTCCATTTCTGAGACTGTACCTGCTGATGGGAGTAGAAGGCCCCTCTTTCTCTCAAAGATGGGCCAGGGGGCTTTAAAAACATTTTAATTAACGTATTTTATTTAACTCAGTATATCTTAACATTTTAATATGTAATTGATATCGTCATTAATGAGCTACCTTATATTTTTCATACTACACCTGGAAAATGTATGGGTTTGTTTGTTTATTTACTTAAACCTTTAAGTTGAGAATGAGGTGGAGATTTGCAGGGCAGGTCATCATCAGTTTTACATGCAACAACCCATACACAGTATGCCGGACAAGGCCCCGTCACCTATTCTCCCTTTTCCTGTTTCTTGTTTCCATCCCTTCTTTCCTAACCCACTGAACTTTGTCTTAGGTAAATGCTGTTCCTTTTATCTTAATTGATGGGTTCCTCTACCACAGGCGTGAGTTCAGTGCCAGACCTGAAGGGTGATTAAGTCAGGCCCATGGTCTTGGGGGTTCTTTCGATCTCCATTCAACCAGTAAGCCATTCTCTTTTATGGTTTGGGGTTCTGACCCATGTATTCTCCCACCCTGTCCTTGACCTCCGAACATGATTCTTTGCAGGGTAGCTGTTGGTGGCAACTGGGAACCCTACAGTTCTTCTGGCCTTGGGCTTGTGGAGACTGGTGTTTGTGGGGTCCATCAGGCCACTGGACTGTTTCCAGAGGGCTTTGGATTTCCGTCACTCTTCTCTCCTCCGGGCAGAGGGAGACCAGTAGTTATACCTTACATGGCTGCTCATGAGCTTTTAAAGTCCCAGTCACTACTTGCCAAGGTGGCAGATCGAACACTGTCTTTGCCCGCAGACTTTGGTGTTCCTTGGGACTATGGTCCCGGTCCCCTAGGCCCAGTGGCTCAGTTCCTTAAGGGGTTGGGTGTGCCTAAGAAGTATTCATAACTTTGCTTTGTGTATGGGCAGGGCTGGGCTGGGCTGGGCAGGGCAGCGTTCAGAGGGGTTAGGAGAGGAGTAGGATCAGAAAAGGGAAACACAGGGAGGAATTAGGATAAGTGGTGTTACCTTACAGGAATTCGAATCAACAACCGGGAACAAAATGCTTATCAAATGTTGACTGGAAAACGCATCTGTTCTGTAAACCTCTGCCCGATTCACATAAGGTTAGTATTAAATAAACAAAAGCAACTTGAAGAATCTATCTGCATTAAAAGTCTCACATCCTAATCAAGGGAAATAGAGGAAAGAGCTGGGAGGAAAAGGGCATTTATAGAGGTCGAGATAAAGACATGTACATATGCAAATATATTTATATGAGGATGGGGAAATAGATCTATGAGCCTATATTTATAGGTTTAGTATTAA